TCAGAGTTTGCATGATTCCTAAATACTGATTTATGGATAAAATAAATCCTCTGTGGGGCACCTGGGTGGCTCAGTTGGTTAGGCATCTGCCTTCGGCTCAGGTCATGATCTCAGGGTCCTGGGATTGAGCCCCGCATCGGGCTCTCTGCTCCGTGGGAAGCCTGCTTCTCCCTCTACCCCTCCACCAACTCATGTGCTCTCTCTCTCTCTCTTTCAAATAAATAATCTTTAAAAAAATTAATAAAAAATCCTTTGTGAAGTTCTCTCTCTCTCTCTCTCTATCAAATCCCATTTTCCTGATTGTCATAAAATTAAACCAAAAAAATAAAACAAGATAACCCTGAGATTGAAAAGGCAAGTCACAGATGGGGAGAAGATATTTACAATGTATATCCCAACAAAGAACTCATGTCAAGACTATAAAAAGAACTCCAACAACAGGAAAAAAGTGAGGAAAACTTGACTGGGCAGTTCACCAAACAGGACATTAATCTGATCAGTAAGCCTATTAAAATGTGCATAACAACATTAATCATTGGAGAAATGTAAGATAAAACTACAATGAAGGGCAACTGGGTGGCTCAGTCGTTAAGCGTCTGCCTTCAGCTCAGGTCATGATCCCAGGGTCCTGGGATCGAGCCCCGCATCGGGCTCCCTGCTCAGCGGGAAGCCTTGTTCTCCCTCTCCCACTCCCCCTGCTTGTGTTCCTGCTCTCGCTATCTCTCTCTCTGTCAAATAAATAAATAAAATCTTTAAAAAAAAAACTACAATGAGAAAATTTTTAAAAATAATGATATCTCTGCATACCTACTAATAGCTAAAATCAAAGAATGATAACATCAAATTTTACTATGGATGTAGGACAACTGGAACTTATATATTGCTGGTATGTGAGAAAAATAATACAATCATTTTAGAAAACTTTTGCTAGTATCTACTAAAATTAAATATAAGTTTACCTTATCACCCAGCAATTCCAATATAAGGTATAAACATTCAAGAGAAATCAGTGCGAGTGTTGCCATTGTAGAAACAGTACAGAGGTTTCTCAAAAAGTTAAAAATAGCACTGCCTTATGATCCAGCAGTTGCACTATGGGGTATTTACCCAAAGAATACAAAAACACTAATTCAAAGGGATACATGCACCCTGATGTTTATTGCAGCATAATCTACAATAGCCAAAGTATAGAAGTAGCCCAAGTGTCCACTGACGATCGATAAATGGATAAAGACGGTGTGGTTATACATTTGAAAAATTCACTTAAGATTTGTGCACTTTACTCTGTATGATACTTTAAAAAATATCCTCTAGTCTTTGACCAAACAACATAAATAATTCTATCATACTTTAGCAAAACAAGATGAAGGACCGCTGAAAAGGAAAGACTTTCATATTTGAAATAAACTGACATGTCAAAGTAAGATCAAATTCAGGGTTCTTCAGTGTTGGTTGTTGTATTATGCTTTTATTTAGTAGAGAGAAGTTTATTTGGAATTTGAACAAATTTGTCTATTTTCCCCTGCTTTTTAATTTACTCAGTTGTTTAATTATATAAATATGGTCTCATGATTATTTATTTTATACTTTGGGATTAATCTAACACTACATTATTTACTTTCTTACACCAATTGTTAAAGCTTTAGCTATTGGTAGCTCTTTCATTTGGCCCTCTTTGAAATACACTCATCATTGTGGGATTTTTTTTTTTATGTTTGTATTTGATTGTTTGTTTTTTAGCACTTCTATACTTTCTGTTACTACAAGGTGCTCCAGGAAGAAAAAATTACATTTTTTTAAGTGTTGACAGTAAGCTTGGTAATTTGGAGTACCTTATAAAAGTCAGGGCCATGTCTGATTCCCTTAGGAATGGAGCACTCCTCAATTTAATGCATATGGTCAATACTCCTAATTCAGGCCAGACCTATTGCTAAAATAGTTCATTGTAACAACTGCCATGAAGAATCTGGATGGAAATTAGAGATATTAATAACTTAACTGTGTGTCTTAGTTAAGTCAGTGTGCTCTAAGGAACTGTGATTGATGGAGGAGAAGCTCTAAAAGTTTGTTTTACATATAGAGAGATATTAATAACTTAATTAAATATGTTCTCTAAGAAAATGTGCTATAAAGAAATTTGATTGATAGAAAAGAGCTTTTAAAAGTTTTGCTTCATTTCTAGACTCACATCATTGTTTCTATTAAACTATATACTCTCAAAGCAAGCCAATTTAATGGGAAGAGAGAGAGCTTTTAAATGCAAATAATTACATTTTTTCTTATCAAATGCTTGTTAGAATTTATAGTTTCAATCTGGTAGTCGTCACATTGGAGGTAAAAGTTCCACAGAGAGAGAGAAAATTAATGGATTCCTTTAAGCCATAACAATAATATGAAATTATCCCTGTGGTGTTATAATCAAGGCAGTTACAATAGGTATACCTGAATATGCAATGCATCATAGAAAAAGTTATTCATATAAATAAAGAACAGCTAAATTGTTTATAAAATATACTTCTAATTATTTTCTAAAATAAAGGGTGAGAGAACAATGAAGAGAAAAAAATGTGTGTTTGAATCCAATAACACAGATAAAAGAATTCTCTATTTTATTGTTTTTCTTTGAAAATTCTTATTTTCTCTGCAACCTGACTTACGTTCATTTTCCTCCACAGTATTCTTCCATGCCATTTTACATGTGAAATCATTAACTCAAACAATCAATCTGGTCCTTTTAATGACCTCTCTCTGTCTTCTTTCAACTCATGAACCTTGAGCGGTTCACCTTTTATCTTCATGAAGGTTTTGTATAGAAGGATTTTGAATAATAAAAAACACATTTTTATACACCAGAGACTTGTTTCTCAAGCTGTTTGCTTTAGAAAGCTTTCTAGCAGATTTAAGTAAATATCTCCCAATGGGGAAAAAAACCTCGTCTTTGTGAGCACTTTTTCCCACTGCTGAAACTCCATCTTCCTTCTTTCCTTCCCTCCCTTCTTCCCTTTCTCCTTTCTTCCACCTTCTCGACCTGCATGCATATTTACTGAGCACGCACTACATGCAGAACCTTACTGTAGTCCCACCCCCACCACTGCTCTTCAGCACCAGTTACAATTAACCACAAGTTGTCCTCAGGACAGCCACCCATGCAGTCAGCTGAACATTATTTGGGCTTGGATGATGCTACACAAGGTATCTTTCTCTTGTTTTTGTTGCTATGTTCACTTTTTGCTTATTACAGCTGATTTTTAAGTATTTTACCATCCTCCGTGAAGCCCCACCATTAGAGACTCTTTGCTCTGCTGAACTGACAAGAAATTGTTAAAGATGAAATACCTTCTTTTCCATGGTGGACCCCAAATTTTGTGCCCCCTGTATCAGCTGGAATTTTCTTACTTATTCCAAAATAAGATCAGGTCATTTCATGAAGCAAGATTGAGGAAACTTTTTTCCTCAGTCTTAGAATCTGTTAGTTTATATAACATATTTTCCCAAACAAGAATTCAGAACTCAGCTTTTGTTAATATCTCCAATTTTTTTTTGCCCTTTTCCCACCTTTTTTTTTTTTAAGGTTTTATTTATTTATGTGACAGAGAGAGAGATAGCAAGAGCAGGAACACAAGCAGGGGCAGTGGGAGAGGGAGAAGCAGGCTTCCCTCTGAGCAGGGAGCCCGATGTGGGGCTCTATCCCAGGACCCTGGGATCATGACCCGAGCCTAAGGCAGACGCTTAACGACTGAGGCACCCAGGCACCCCTTTTCCCACCTTTTAGCAGGATTTCCTTCAGTATCTATGTCTCTTAAAAGAGATCACAAAGTCAGGGTTAACCTTTTTCCTTTGGCGCTCATTGGAGAAGAAATTTTTGAGAAATGGCATTGTGGTAAAATTTAGGTTCCTACTATTTATCCCTTTACATATCTAACTTGCAAGATTAAAAATGGTTGGTCCCAGGGTCAACAGGGTGGTTCAGTCGTTTAAACATCTGCCTTTGGCTCAGGTTATGATCTCAAGGTCCTGGGATCCAGCCCCACATAGGGCTCTAGCCCCATGTCAGGCTCTCTGCTCAGCCAAGAGTCTGCTTCTCCCTCTGCCCCTCCCCACCGCCTGTGTGCTCGTGTTTTCTCTCTTTCTCTCTCTCTCAAATAAATAAATAAAATCTTTAAAAAAAAAAAAACGGTTGGCCCCATATCTCTATTTTGGTCCAAAGAGATATCACTATGTCTAATCTGGACCACATCTACAGAATGAAATCAAATGTGTAAGTCTAATTCAGAATTGGCCTGGTTCCAGAAATAAGACAAACAAACAATTCAGGAAAAGGAAAATATGGTCCCTCCAGTATAAAGCCCAGAAGGCTTAAAAAAGAGTGATTTTCTGATCTAGCCCAGAAACAGATGGAATTTACAATTATAGATTATAGTTAGATTAGAGTCATCTTTGTATAACCTTTCTTGCGCACCCCATTGTCCTCACTTTAATGTGAATAACATTATGAAAAAAAACATTAAAATGCTTGTCTGGCAGCTGGGCCTTTGTTTCAGAATTCTGGTCAGTAGGTGCAAGTTAGATTGTTCAACACAGTGGAGCACAAAAGCAGTAATATTATAACTAACAAGAGGTAGGTAGTGTGGCTTCTTTTCTTCATAAAACGAGATAAAAGTGAGACTAAAACTCTTCCACATTTGAGTTCTAATTTTATATGAAGTATAGTAAAGGAATTGGAAGTTATAAAAGGTAAGACATATATACTTAATTCACATTTACTTAATGTTTAATATATGGCTATACTGTACTAGGTGCTGGGAATACAAAGTTCCAACACAAAAATAAAACAATTTCTGGCTTTGAAGAGATATGCAGATTATTAGAATTTATCTGTCTTTGGTTCTGAACTTAAATTGCAATATTGAGCTGTATGTATATTTTAATGTAAGCCTGTGCTTTTCTTCCTGCTATGATTAATATCTGTCTTCATATTTGTCTGCCCTTGCCATCTTTAGGAGATTGTCAACTTCAACTGTCGGAAGCTAGTGGCTACCATGCCTCTGTTTGCTAACGCGGATCCCAATTTTGTGACTGCCATGCTGAGCAAGTTGAGATTTGAGGTGTTTCAACCTGGAGATTATATCATACGAGAAGGAGCTGTGGGTAAAAAAATGTATTTCATTCAACATGGTGTTGCTGGTGTCATCACAAAATCCAGTAAAGAAATGAAGCTGACAGACGGCTCTTACTTTGGAGGTTAGTGAACAAGAAAATGCAACTGAGCCAAACGTTGCTTTGGTTATGTGTCTTTCTCAGAGTTTTGGAGATATCATAATGTTGATTTGTGGGTTTTGACTATGAACTTGTGTTTGAATTCTGATAAAAGTGTCTATAATGGTATGTTTTCACATTTCAGTGTCACATGCTCAGTGCGTGTACATTTACTACTGTGTTAGTTGGAGCATCTTTTTACCTTCGCAAACTAGACTGGCTTAAACCAGATGGAAAGTATATTTTTGTGGGAGATGGCTCACCCCAAGACAGTTTTCAGGAGCACAGATTTCATTTATTTTATTGGTTTGCCATCCTCTAGAGTGATTTTCTCATTTATACAAGAGGAACTGGTTCCTCTCCATCATGTTAGATACAGCCCACAGGAGGGGGAGAAGGGGACAGCGGAAGTGAAGAGTGAGCAGCTTCTCTTTAGAGGTGTACCTAGACTTGTCACTATCAGTGCTTATTTACATCCAGTTGGCCAGAATTTAGTTACAAGAGTACCTCTAGGTGTAAGAAAGGCTGAGGAATGTAGCCTCTAGTTGAGTGGTGTGAAAGTCAGGTTTCTCCAGAGAAACAGAGCCAGTAGGAGAATATATATACAAAAGGAGAGTTATTATGAGGCATTGGCTTATGTGAATATGGAGGCTAACAAGTCTTGTGATTGGCCATTGAAAAGCTGGAGACCCAGGAAAACTGGTGGTAGAAGCTAGTCTGGCTCCCAAGGCTGGGAACTAGAGGAGTCGAAGGTATACATCCCAGTCTGAAGGCAGAAGATGAGATGAGATGTTAGCTCAAGATAGGAAAAGAGGGTCAAACTCCCCCCTCCTCCTACGTTTGTTCTTTTCACACCTCCAGTGGTTTGAATGATGCCCACTCACATAGGGGAGGGCAATTTACTGAGTCCACTGATCCAAATGCTAATCTTATCTGGAAACACCCTCAAAGACACATCCAAAAATTATGTTCAATCTGGACACCCCATGGCCAATCAAGTTGATACCTAAAACTTACCATTGTAAGTGGAAATTTGCCTTGCTAGAAACCCTGAAAATTTTAATTGTTTCCAACTTTTTGCTATTATCAGATATATACTGATATTTGTGCACATGTATAAAACTTGCCTAGAAGTTGAATAACTAGGTCAAAAACTATACATATTTTTAAACTGAGATAAACACCAAATTGTTTCTTTGCTGAGGCTGCCTGTGTCTACATGCCTTGCCAATTCATTTTGACTTCTGTCCTCTTAAGGTAAAAATGGCATCCCTTACTTGTTTAGTGTGCATTTTCATTATTAATATTGAGGTTGAAGTGTTCATAGATTTATTCATCATTTATATTTTATTTTTTCTGTTTCTATTCTTTGCATATTTTTCTAATATGTTTTTGCCTTTTTAAAACCAATTACAGCAACATTCCTAATGTATTTTTGATAGGCTATAACTGTTTTCTTCAAGATTGTTATTTCTTTTCTATCTTTATAACTTTCCTTTCATCATTCTGATCTTCATTATTGTTGATTTGATATGAACCTGCCTCTCCTTTCCCTTAAGGTGTCAGAGATTTTGTGTTCCTTAGGTGGGTTTTGTACACTGCAAAATTATAAAAATGTTTTCCATCTTTACCTCTATTTTATTTAGTTTTGCATTTTGTTACTATTTTATCATAGTTTACTATATTTATTATATGTACCTCGATTACATTTTTATTTTAGTATTAAGCCACCCAGCATATATTTGTGACTGTAGTGTGAGGTAAGATTCTGTATTTTTCCCCAAAAGAGATAAGTTCTCCACCATCATATATGGAAGATTTCATCCTTTCTGTAAAACGTTAAAATATTTCTTTAATAATATGCTGATATAATATAAACTATGGTGACGATAGCAACTAATACTGTATTGCATATTTGAAAGTTGCTAAGAAAGTAGATCTTAAAAGCTGTCATCACAAAAAAACATTTTGTAACTATAAATGGTGACAGATGTTACCTTGATTTATTGTAGTGATCATTTCTCAATATATATAAATATCAAAGTATTATGTTGTTGTCATGAGCACGCTAAGAAAGCACACACACGAGTCGTGTCTTTCCATAATGCCAGATTTATTCATCATAAAGCAAGGTTAACGTAATTACAAAGCAGGTTCAGGATTCCAAACTCAGTGACATTTCACTCTTTGTTTAACTTTGCTTCTTACTCATCACACAAAACAAAGCACAAGACAAGTTACACAACAAACAAGATAGTACACGAAGTAGGAAGTTAAGGAACCAAACATGAAGTCAGTCTGTGAGCACGCAGTTGAGATAAGGCCTTGGTCTGGTCCGGGTCAGCCCTCAGCATGTGCTGCTTATTATGTCAAGGGGTGGAGGATCTCTGTTCTGTTCAGAGATCAATCGGGCAGAGCTTCAGTGGCGGCTGCCTTTTTGATGTGGTCAGATGTGAAAGGATCAGTGTCTTGAAAGTCTGATAGTTTGCTGCAAAAATCTTCCTTTTTTAAGGGGACTTAATCTGTCTTGGGCCTTTGCAGATCTCCTCTGGTTCTGCTCATCATCAGTTCTGAGTGTGTCATCAGCTGGTGCTAATTTCGGCGGTATCTGGTCTTAGCTGCAACGCCTTTGGTTCTTGGGTCACTGCTTGACATAAGTCACTGCTTGACGTGGGTGATTCCTGTTACGCTCTGTAGTTGTATTCCTGAAACTAACACACTGTGTCAATTACATCTCAAAAAAAAAAAAAAAAGAGAGAATCCTGGGATGTGGGGATATATATATATAATATATATCTACTAGGTTTTTATATATCAGGAAGAAAACCATATATTCTGTACATTTTCTAGTATACATGCAGATTCATAGAGGGGCTTTAATCATCCTAATCAAAGATGCTTCCAGATAGTGTTGAGACAAAAGTAAAACTACAGAGGAGCCAATATGCTAATATACGGCCATTAGAGGCTCTTTTGCATAGAGGAAATAATGTTAGAACAAGCAGAAGGGGGACACTATTTTTTCTTCATTTCTTTTCTTAGTTTCTACCAATTCTGTTAAAACATTAGAAACTTAATGATTAATATTAGACCTCTGGTACTACAGTATCAGGACTTGGTGAGGTTAATGTTTAAATATTCTTCAACACTAAGAAACTGAAATGTTTTTCTTAGGAAAAGGCAGGAAGTCTGTCTTCAAATATCTGGAGGTTTATCCTGTAAGAGGCAATTCAAATGAAACTCTTTTCCTTCTCATAAGTGAGGTATAGAATAAGTGGTTCTTATTACTTTGTGTTCATCTTTCACAGATTTTATAATATGCCATCTCTTCAGAAGGCTTCTCAGTCAGAATCAATGTCTCCCACCTTTGTGTCTCCATAGAACTTCTCATAGCTTTCCAGGGTCCTGGTCTCAGTCGGCCTCACACTGAAATTAATAGAATAGTTGCCTGTCTTCCCTCTGATATTCAGTGTGTATATCAGAATCAGTAGAGTGCTGTTTAAAGCCCAAGATGCTCAGGCCCCACCCATCAGAGATTCTGAATCAGTAAGTCCAGACTGGAGACAAATTTTTATTTGTTCATTAGAGACTCATCAACCAGTATATCTGATTCCCTAAAAAAAAAAGTAATGATTAAAAAAGTAATCAAATCAAATTAGTAGTTGAAAAAAAGGCAATGAATTTCATTTTGTCATATATAAATAAATATATGCCGAGTTTGAGAAATGTTCTTCAATAACAGCTAAGAAATAGTAGGAAAGGCTTTGAATTTTATTAAATGCTTTTTTTGGAACATATCAAAATAACCATAAGGTTCTTATCCATTAACCTATTGTGGCTGAATAAAATATATCAACTCAAGATAATTCGCTTCCTTGACTTTCCCTCTCACGCATGAAGGACACTTTCGAAGCTTCCAGCTTCCCCTTCTTCCCACTCTTCTTTGTCATGATTCTGTGCTGCCTCGTTAGCCCCTTAGCCTTTTGTGGCAGATTGTTCTAAGGAAGAAGAGATTTGGAAAAGCTAAGACCCCAAAAAATCTACTATAGAAAGCACAGAGCATTAATGTTCAAATAAACAAAAAAGAGTAACTGAAAGCTGACGGGGTAAAAAATAAAAGTGTACATGTACAGGCCAGGTGTGAGGGAAGGTGGTTTGGGAGGGAACACATTTTTGAGGCCATTAATGGGGGTGTGATAAAGTAGAAGAAACATCTGGAAAGGACTTTTTGGAAGTGTTATGCATTAAGAGTGTATTTTTACACTTGACATACATTTTGTCAGTTCAAAGGAGCTTTTAATTACTACGTAGTTATATTTGCTAATATGACTAAGGTTTTATACAAACACTGGAACACTTGTCTCCCTGGATTTATCTGGTTACACTATTAGGAAAGTCAATTACAGTAATGAAGATCCTTGTGTTGAGCCGTAAGACCGTTTCTGGGATAAAAACTACTTTGTCCTGATGTATTGTTGTTTTTAACACATTGTAGCATCTCTATAAGTTAAATTGGGCTGTTATTTATTGTTTTGGTGGTTATTTTGTGATCCCCTGGCTAATTTTGGATATCAGGTTTTGTTTACTTCTTGGAGAGAGTAAGAAAACTTTTTTAAAAAAATGTATTCTCTAGGAGGTTTAAACAATCTAGGCATTACCTGTCACTTGAAGTCGTCTTAGGTTTCACAAATAAAGCATTGTGTCTGATTCTCTGTCTTCTACGGTTATTAAAGTCCTCCAGCTTTCTACTTCTTTATGAGCAATCATTCAGTTCATCTAATTCAATTGTTCATTATATTGAAAAGCTTAAAAAAATAAAATAAAGTCTGATGCCAGAGCCAAAATTATACCTTAGAGTTTCTGATGGAATTGAGAGGAGTTGAGATCCAAACATCAGCATATAAAAACAAAATCCCCAGAAGATTCCAAATAATTTTCACATTATATGTGTATGTATACATAGGTCCCTTTTTATTTTCAATAAA